ATCCTTATCCTTATGGTGCATTAAAAAGGAAAATAAAAGTTCCTTCCAAAAGGAGTTCTCCACATCTCGGAAATCTAAATGGTCTACTTTAAAAAGGTTAAAAACAAAATTAAAATACAAAGAGCCACTAGGATTGGTTTATTTGCGAGGGCTTTGGAATAATTTGTATGAGATCTAGTTTCAAATATAAGTATAAAAAAAGTCAAAATACAAATAGTTATATCCTATTTAATATAGTATAAATGTGGGAAGGTTGAAAATTTATTTGGCATTTTCTCATTAGATTTTTTTTTGATATATCGACTCTAATTATCTCTGATATACAAATAGTTAAAATTCTTCGACTTTTTCAAAAATGTATTTAGTAACAATTGAGTCGAGATTCTCTCCCCACCTACTCAGCGTGTATTATCAATTGATCCATATTCATTGTATTTAGGATTTTATTAATCTCATGTTAAAGGAGATAGTTATCTCATGTCATAGAGACAAACTAGTGAGCTCCACCACTTGAAAAAATAAAAGAAAAGAAAAGAAAAAGGTGACACAGATATCGAAGAGTGTGTAGGAGAGAAAACTAATGTCATGTGACATAAGAATAGTTTTTCCCTTGTATTTATTATCTAATTTCCACTTCTTATTCATGTCGTAAAATTTTATTGTTCTTTGTTTACTTAGCTTTCTAGTACCAACTCAACTCATGATTTGCCGGTTAGTTTCAATGTACTCTTCCTAAGACATAATATCAAGTGAAGATATCAGACTCTCTTCTTTATAAAACTAAAAAAAGGAAAAAATCCCTCCTAAAAAAGAAGAAGCAATTATCGATGAGTATTATATTATAACTTTAAACCAGTTCTTGAGGAAGTAAATAATTTTTTTTTCATATGGGAATAATTCTTTAGTATTTGGTGGATAGGTTCGATAAGGGTATGCATGACAACCATTCTGTTCTCTGGCACTATTTCTGAAAAGAAAAAATTCTTTTCTTTTTCTGTGCCTTGGAACAGTTTCGGAGAGAAAAAAAAATGTTTGATAACATGTTTTATTTTTATTCCAAGAATGAGAATTGTATTTGATAACACAACAAATAATAGAATAAAGAATCATTCCTATTAAGCGTAAATTTTTTTTAGATCATCACTTTCCTTTTCATATGGTGTGGTGGCGGTGGTGATGGCGACAGGGGTAGTGTTAATGGTGGTGATGGTGGTGGTTGTAGTAGTGGCGTCGTGGTGGTGGTGGCGGAAGTGATGGCATGATGACGTTAGTGGCAGCGGCGATAGTGGTGTTGATGGTGGCGATGATGGTAGTGATAATGATGGTGACAGAGATGGTAGTGGTGGTGGTGGTGACAGTAGTGGTCGTGACGATGGTGGTGATGGTGATGACATGGTGGCGGCGGTGGCAATGGTGTAGTGGTGGTGGCGATGGCAATTGCGTGATAATGGTAGTGGTGGCAGCATCAATGGTGGTAATGGTGGCATAGTGGCGGCGACTGCGACGATGGTAATGATGATGACATAGCGGTGACTGTGGTGTACTGGTGTCGTGGTGGTGGCAATGGCAGTGGCATGATAATGGTAGTTGTGGCGGCAGCGGTGGTGGTAATGGTGGCGGCGATGGTAGTGGTGATAGCAATGGATGCAACGATGGTGATAGTGATGACATGGTGGTGGTGGCGACGACAACGATGGCGGTAGTCGTGGTGGCGTGGTGGTGGTGGTGGTTGGTGACGATGGTGATGATGGTAGTGATAATGGTGGTGATGGTGATGATTGTGGTTGTGGTGAAACGACGATGGTGACGATGGTCATGTCGGGATGGTGGTGGCGGTGGTGATGATGGTAGTTGTAGAGAGAGATAAATGTTTCTCATTTTGTGCTCGGGATAAAAAAAGCAGAAATTTTTTGATTCTTTTTTCTATTCCCCAGCACAAAAATTAAACCGGTTCATCGCGAGAATAAAAAAATAAACTGATTTTACCAAACAGGTTTTCTATCCATTTCTGTTCCCGGGAGCAGAAACTAAAAAAATTAATTCCGGGAAGGTTGTCATGCTCACCATAAGAATATAGGTTTAAATCTTACTATTATTATTGTATTAAAAAAAGGTTTATGTTTGTATCATGTTGTTGGAAGCAACAATAATTTTCCTGCAGACTAAGCAAAGGAGAGAGAGAAAGTGAGATAAGAAAAGTAAAGAAAAAATTTGTGGAGTCCATGATTTTATTGTGTGTGCAGGTAGCTAGAGTAGTTTTCTTGTAACATTATCTTTACATATTCCTAAAAAAAATAAAAGGCTAGGTTAAGCCCATGGTAGCTAATTGTAGTGGTTAAAAGTGGCTATTTGGACCCTAAGATCAAAAGTTTATTTTTTGGAGAAAATTTTTAGGGAAGACAATATATATATATATATATATATATATATATATATATATATATATATATATATATATAGGGGTAGGATATTCTTACACTGGTGTAAGAGTTAGAAATCTTATACTCAATCTTGATCATTGATCCACTTGTATCTAATGGCTCACATTACTAAAAAAATTGAGCCCTTAGATATAAGTGGGATCAACGGACAAGATTGAGAGCGTAACTTACACTAGTGTAAAATGATCCTGACCCATATATATATATATATATATATATATATATATATATATATATATATAGGACTTGCAATTTCTCATGTTACATGAGAAATTCAATTTTTTCTAGAGAGAGAAAAAGGGGTGGGGTCCACTTTAAAGAAAAAAATAAAAAATAAAAAAGTGATTGGCACGGACATCGAAGTGAGAGTAGTAGGAGAGGAGACTTCTCATGCAACATGAGAAGTCTTTTTATATATATATATATATATATATATATATATATATATATATATATATATATATATATATATATATATATATATATATATATATATATAGGGCAGGATATTCTTACACTGGTGTAAGAGTTAGAAGTCTTACACTCAATCTTGACCATTGATCCACTTGTATCCAATGACTCACATTACTAAAAAATTTGAGCCCTTAGATATAAATGGGATCAGTGGACAAGATTAAGAGTGTAACTTACACTGGTGTAAAATGATCCTATCCCTAATATATATATATATATATTGTAATAGAAGAAAAATATTTTGATACTACGCGAGTATTGAAAACTTAGTATATCTTTGCTAAAATTAGGGAAACAAAACTTAGTTTTACTTTTTTTCTCCAACTTCTTTATAGTTATTGATGCCCGAGTCTTATTTTTTTTCTATTTTTAGTAAAAGATTAAGTATTCTTATAGGTTGAATATATACTCCTTGGAAAACCTTTGACCTTTAACACACTTTTGGTTTGATATTTCAAAAGTAATCTATATATCTAAAAAGAAAAGAAAAGAAAGTACACTAGTAATTAAATAATGTATTTATAAATGCCAACTGTTAAATGAAATACTCAAGAAAAGATGCGGTAAGATATACTTATTCAAGAAATTTTCAAGTAGTGTTTACATGGCTTTCACGATTTTTTTTTTTTTTAAGAGTTAATTTTGTTTGCCCTTTAATCTTAAGGTGAAGTTATCCCCAATCAATTTATAAAATATGGGTTAAGTTAGTCAGGTTTTCGAATTAGTTTTTGTTCTAACACGAACTAACTCAATCATCATGAATTTGTTTTTTTAAAAATATATTTAAATTAAAATAATATTATTATGAATATTTTTAAAAAATTTAATATAAAATGACATCATTTTGACAAATTTTGTTCAAAAAAGTTGAGACGTCAACATGCTTTTCTGGCCCAAACAAAATGGGTTATATTTATATTATATTGTAGGAAAATAATTGTCTTATGTTATAGAAATAGAATTACAAGTGAGATTCACATGTAAGAGGAGAGAGAGAAAATAGATGTAAGACTCACCTCCACTTTGTGTGTGTAAGAAGTTTGTTTATTTTATGTAACATAAGATAAATATAACCCAACCAAAATTGGTTATTATCGGGCCGAATTAATTTAAGTCGATAAAAGAAATCTCTCTCTTTTTTTTGGTAGATGAAATCTCTCTTAACTTGACCCAACTTAATCTGACTAAATTTAATTAATTCAATTTTTATTTTTGTCCATAACCGATCCAACCAACCTATCATCAGGACCTTGAAGGACAATATTAAAAACCTCATGAGCAAAGTAATAGAGTTAATATCACAAAGGATAAAGTGCCCACAACAGGGTAAGTTAGCAAATAGCAATGGTATCAACCGTAAAAGAGTCAAGTACAAAAAACAAAAAAAATCAAGAGAGAGCAAGCTGATATTAATACATTTTTTAAAAATCGGCAGTGCAATGTAATGCAAAAAAAAAGTTTTTTTTTATGAAAAAGGAGGGTTAGGTAGTAGGTTACTTCATGATTAATTAATAAAATATATGTTTACACCTAAAAAAACTTTGCATAAGGCATCGAGCAAAGTTCATGAAATAAATTGAAAGATAAGACTTTCAAAATGAATAAATAAAAATTTAATTACTCTTTATTTAGTTTAAAGTAAATCATAATTTTAATTAACTAAAATTCAAGAATGAATACACTCTTATTTACTTTACTGGCTTAGAGCACTCATGCTAGGTACATTATATTTATAACCCATTATCTAAATGTAACTAACAAAGCATACACCCAATGGCATGTTGCCCTCCTTTATCAGATTATAATGTAGAAATAATAAATTTCAATACTGTCATAGTTCCACAGCATGAAAACAAATTGTACGTGTAAGCCAGTTTCAGATATATTGCACATTATGCTCCAACCTCAGTAAAGTATATCAAAGAAACTTGAAAGTGGACACTTCTTAAAACATGTGAATCATAGTACAAGTTTGCGGTGAATAACCAGGTTTTTGAATCAGAACGACAAGAAGGGTTAGCTACCTTGAACTCCATAATTGTAAATTGAAATTAGATCAATCATTATAAGAAAGGCAATTTCCAAATAATTGCAAAATTATGAAGCACTGAAATGGAAAAACCATTCTCAACATTTGCAAAACATCATCAATTAGTGAAATTCTACAATATCAGTTTGATAAGAATTAACACTTTCAACTTTATAGAAATAAAAATATCCTGCAAATTATCTGCATTCAATACTCTGTTTCCAGGACACCATCAATAAGGCCAAACTCCAAAGCCTGCAATCAGAAAAAGCAGTAACACAAACTATCCAGTAAGTGATTTCTAGAGGATCAACAATCATAGAAGCTGAGATTAGAACATAATAGCAGCCATCACTGAAACTAGTCACCATAATAATCCTCCTCACAGAAAATGGACAAATGGTTATTCAGATTACAACCATGGATAAGTGTTTTCACAAGCATTAATTTTACAGACTAATTAACCCAATCAAATATTTCACTAGTATAAACTAAAGAGACAACCCAAATTAAATTGAAATGTTTACTTTTATCCATCTTTTCCTAGATTTCATATCTTTTTGGAAAGACAGCAATTTTGGTTTCTTTGAGAATTTGTCCACAGTTCTACAAACTTCTTATTTCACAGCTATGGAAGAAAATAGTTCACATTACCTCCGAAACAGACAGAAAACGGTCCCTCTCTGTGTACTGTTGCACCTTCTCTAATGGCTGTCCGGTGAAAGCACTATACATCTTGTCAATTTTCTGTACTCAAAATAGAAGGGAAAGAGGAAAAACTTAGGCTTAGCATTTCAAGAACTGTCAAATAAACTATTAACAAGAAAAAGAATGTAGTAACTGCTGCCACAAAAACTTGAGCATGAAGAAAACATGTCAACTGAAGTTTCCAGTTTCACACACATAGAAAATTGGAATTTAATATTCTTCCTTAAGGAGGCTAAGATATTTTTTTCCCAGTAACAGGGATTACAAGAGGCAGCACATGATAATTAATTGAGAAAATCCAACAACACCTTAGATACCCTTCTCTGATTGTCACAAATATAAATGCCACAGCTAAGACTCAACTAAAAATCCTGTTTTCAGCATAATCAAGTTCATAGGAGCATTACAGTTGTTCAGAAATTATTAGAATTGTGTAACTCAGATGAAAAAAAGACTAACATGGCGAGATTGAACAGCTTCATTCACTTGGCGTCTCACATCCTCAACATGACCCTACAATCAGATTAAGAGCAATCAGAATCATGATGTCTATTAAGTGCTGACCAAAGAACACATTATAACTTATCCTGCTACCTATCAATCAAAATTATTTTAAATGTAAAAATGAAGAACAACTTACTTTCCAAAGTTAATGCATCTATACATCAAATGTCAAACTACATAATGCGTTCCACAATTAGCTTGAAAGATGTGAATTTGAGCATAACTTTAATGTTGGAAGAGATCATGCTTCCAATATAACTTTTAGATGATCCGTTGCCACTAGTCCCATAAAATTAAAGGCTACTTAATAGGCAATTTGGCATACTAGCTCCAATCTCAAGGGAGGAAATTCACATCCTCTAGTTTTATAAAAGTTTGTAACTTAAGGGAGGAGAGGGAACATGATATGCATTTGAACACTTTGCTCATATACTAGATGGTGCAAATATAATATCACATTTGTCCGGTCCTATTATTATTTCGATATAAATTATGACTGTAATCTTATTATCCTCTTCCTACACCAAATCAGTATGGGAGATTTTACATTTCCGTGACTTATCAGCTTCTAAATTCTCAAGTGCATCTTTGGTAAGAAAATTTCAAGAGCTTGAATCTTACCCCGCATCCACTCTGTGGTTGATGTATCATTATGCGAGCATTTGGCATTGCATAGCGCATTCCCTTCTCCCCACCGGCAAGGAGAAGTGCTCCTTGGCTTGCAGCTACTCCGAAACATACCGTACCAACCTTGGGCTTTATCTGAAAACAAATGGGGTCGCCAAATGCTTTTAAGGTAGAAACATTGACAACTAATAGGAATTAAAGTAACTAGCAAAGGAGGGTAAGTGTAACTGGATTCAATATATATATATATATATATATATATATATATATATATATATATATATATATATATATATATATATATATATATATCTGTATGTATGTATGTATGTATTGGGCAGGAGGGGTTGACAAAACCTTTTATCTTACCCAAGACATGCAATCATAAATCGCCAACACTGAATATGTGCTTCCACCAGGGCAATTTATATATACCTGCCAATAGAAGCAGCTCAATATAAATCCCATTTCATGACTTGACGAAAGTAAAATAACAATGTCAAGACACAACAAACCAGTATATCTGCATCTGCATCAATAGTAGCTAGAGTCACAAGCTGCGATATAACTCTCTGAGCCACTTGTGCGTTAATTGGCTGTCCTATGAATATTATACGATTCCTGAACAAAACAGTTGAGAGATCAAGAGGTCCTCCAGGTGTCATCACTGCTGGTGTTATTGGTGGATTCCCCTTCCTGGCTTCAATTGCACCATAACTACAAGTAAACTGGAATATCAATTAGTTGTTTTTTCCATTCTCCACTACTTTAAAAAAATGCAGAGACTGGGCACTAAATTCATGTCTGTGAGAGAAGCCTCTTAAGAATAGTTTCAACTCAGAGAAAAAAAGGTACACATAAAATTAATTAAAAAAGACATCTACAGTCTAGCTACAATGATGCTCCCCGAGACTAACTGAATAGATAGGTTACGCCGTTCATTGCCAATTTTCCATGCCATAGTCTATCAGCTGAATGCTACAGTAGTGTTTCACGATGCACTGCTTTATAACCTAATTCACCTCTATACAGATACACTTACTTGTCCAGTAAAGAATTACAGACAAGTCAGGCCTTGAACAATACAAAATGGTCAAAAATAGGTATTCAATGGCATGCTACCAAACAACCACATAATACATGAAGCACTTGAAAGAGGAAAGGAACAGAATTGTACCTTGTACTAGCATCATAGGTATTTTTCTCATCAAGATTTAAAGGAAAGAGAGGGCTTTTACTAGATAACCCTGCGTTAAACAAAATATACACATCAATATCATATCATAACATGCTGTAATGCAAAGTAGTCCGTATCCATAACTCATTGCCTTATAATAATAATAAGCAAACAAAAACCAATTATTTGTTAAAAGGATTTAATTTTGATCCACTGGTGGTGTAAAGAGTTTTGAATTATCAATGAACCACATGGTGCCTATTATTTAAGAACCTGTGCTGCAAGTGAGAAACCTTCTGTGGTACTAATTTGTGGTCAAAATTAAACTCTTGGTTAAATATCTGAAATTACGCAAGACGGTTACTTATCATGAAAATAGATTAATTTCAGTCTAATTAAGACATTTATTGCTTCAAAAGAAGGACCATTACACCCCAAAGAGAAAGTAAAACAAACCTTGAACATTCCCAGCACCAAATTTCGAATAGCAGCCAAAGAAAAAGTGATGAAGTTAAAAAATTACCAACTTTTGACGAATCTCCATATGGGCCAGGAAAGGAAGAAGCAATCGAGCACGGGTTTCTGGTAAAGTGGCAATTCAATTTTTAGGATTTAAAAAACAAATGCAAAAAAAAAATTGAAAATTGCATCGGATAATATGAATATGAACCTGTGAGAAAATACGAGGTGAGAAGGACTTCTCCCGCGAGAAGCAATAGTGAAGATAGCACTCGCACTAACTGACACAGCTTGAGCTACCATTGTTGAAGCTTGAATCTCCAAAACAAAGCAGCGTTCAGCAAAAAAAACACGAACCTTTTGTTCGATCCCACCAACGTCCACGGTTCGGTTCTACGAAGCCCGTTGGACCTTTTTGGGCCAACTGTGCAATGGCCCGTTTCGTTGCTAAACTTGAAATAATCACAACGAATAAAAATAATAAAATGGCGAAAAAAAGTGCAATTCATGCACAACTTTTAAGTGTTATTTTTAGGGTCCTTTTTTTTTCTTATGTTAATCTAATATTTTTTTTTTCAAGCAACTGATTATAATTATGTATTCTAGAGAAAATAACTATTTTTTTTCTATGCTCAGAAATTATTTGCTAACATGAAAAAAGAGAAAAAAACTGTTTTTCGATTATAAATGTGTATTCCCTTAAATACATAGTTACAATCAGTTGCTGCAAAAAAATTTTTACAACATAAGAAGTACGTTCCCTTATTTTTATGGGAATAATGTTTCTTCTGATAATGAAAATAATTTTATTTTCTGCACTGATATAAAAGTCGATGAGATCTATTTTATTTTTTTAATCCTTTTCTCATAGAGCTCTATTCATTTTTATATGAGCACAGAAGATAAAATTATTTCTATCTTACACTAGAAACATTAATATCTATTTTTATAAGATAAATTTATATTGTAACAATATAAAAGTTCTTCAACCATAATTGTGACATGGCATTTTTCCTAAGTTTTCATTTTTTTAATTTATTATTTCATTTATTTTCTTTAATTAATTTGTAATTGTTATCATTTATATATTTTTTTACATTTCATATTTCCATCCTCTAAAGTTTAATTTTATATTTTTATATATTCAATTTCCAAATAAAATAAAATTAAACAAATAGCAATCAGAAGTACATTAATTTTTAATTAATTATAAAGATATATTTTATCACACATATTAATCTTAAATAAATAAATAAATAAAAATTAATATAAAATACCATCTTTTATATATTTATTAATTTTTAATCTTACTTTAATAAGTTTAATGAAAATAATATTTATTTAAGTTAATTTTTGTATGTTTGATTGATAATATATTTATATTTTATTTATACTGATATAATTAGCGTAACAAGCTCATATATATATGTGTGTGTGTGTGTTAATTAAAAATTTTATATAGTACATTATGAAATAATGTTTTATTTAAATTTAATTTTTTTGATAGTGGTTAAATTAATTTATTAAATAGAGCAATAAGTATTTTAATTAAACAATTAAAATGACTATTGGAAATTGATTAAACTAATAATCGTACATGTTTCGCTTTATTTACTAATCAAATTAGTTTAAAAGCGAACATTATTCAAATCGTTTCATTGTAGTAAAATCGTATCATCACGCCCCACTCACAAGACGTACGCAAGATCAGGTGAGTGCCACAGCATGCTGTTCCAAATTCAGACGAATAGGTAATGTTTCATGTGGTGTGCACCGAAATTTTTTGTTACAAACTAAACTATCTTATGCCCCTTACTATACTAGCATATTCCCTCACACTTTCAAAAGGTTAGCAGTATAATATTCAAAGAAGTAATAATAAAGTGGAATACATTTCCCTCCCCCAAAAAAATGAACTGAGAATTGGATAAGATAACGTGCAAAAAATCAAGCAAAGACTCCAAGGATCGAGATAGCATAGAACTAGGTCTCTCCTTCCATAATTTCTAATCACATTTTTAAGTGTTTCATGGTCTTGATTAGAAAGAGAACAATTTTAAAAGGAAGGGTACACATGTTTTGATTAGAAAGGAATTTGATCACAGATTCTCCTCTATGCAGAAGTTTAAGAGATATGTTGCACAATCTTTCTTGCCAAAATAGATAACCATTCAGATAATTGGGGTGAAAAAGGGGTCCATGTGAATGTGATGCATATTGGATGGCTTACAGGCAAGCACATGCTTTCCAATCATAGTCTTATTTTCAACTTTATCCTCATCCTCATCTTTATTAACATGTTTTCATGTCTTCTTGTGATGATCATCTTCTTATACATATCTTCATTTAATTATTTTGTTATCGCTATCATTATCATTTTTTACATGCTTGTTATTAATTTCTACATCAGTGTGCAAGTATATATATATCATGCTTGTTATCATGATATATACTTCTTTCAATTGTTTGTCTCTACCAGATACTGGCTGTAGCTCTCATTAACGCCACTGCCCTTGTTCTATTATGTAATAATCCATAAGGCAAAATAAAAAAAATTGTGAAATCTATGGTAATGGATATTATTTTATCTAAGAGGATCATATTTAATATGGGATTTAGTGAAGAGATAGTTACATATCACCGTACATAAATAATAGGTTTAACGTTAAAAGAGAGGCGAGTGTGTTTAGTGATAAAGAAAGCAAGGGTTTTGGAGTGCCTATGGGGTTGGAGGAAGGTTATATTTATAAACTTTTTGTTTACAAACTACACACCGATAATACACTCTTGATAATACACTCTTGAGTAAAGTATTATCGGTCAGACATAATATAATTTGTAAAAATTTATAAAAAAAGTTTGTAAACAGATCCTTACTCTATTTATTGATATGATTTACCTAGAGATAAGTTTGGGTAAAATTAAAAGTCTTTAATGGATAAGGGCGTAAGGCCATTATATGTGATTGGTATTTTGAATGACAATTTAACTTGGACCCTTATCTTCTTCAACATGTACATGGTTCTAGAACAAATATTGTTCAAATTTGGTTATAAAAGCTATCATTCGAGAGATCAACAGGGTCATGAAAAAAGAAAAGAAAAAATAAAGGGAGAAGAAAAAGGAGCCACACCTTTGGTAGAATTTAGACTAAATGAATAGTGGCAAAGGATCATATGTATATTTGACTCTTTTGTGCGTCCCATGTAGTGGGAAACTGAGTGTGTTGGCAAAACTGTTCAATCTGCAGCAGCTGTCATGGACCTCAAGGCTTAGCTCATCCCACAAGTCCACCCAAAATCTTTCAAACAACCCACTAAAACATCAGATTCATGGCTGTGATTGAGTAAAGATATCAAATGGAACTGATAAGCTGTTAGAGACCAATTAAAGTGACAACCATATCATATGGTTCATCCATTTGGTGATTCACACACCTAGGCTATCAGGGTCACATCTGCAGATCAAGTCAACCAAGGATAAAGAAAAAGACAAAACCACGATGCCTTTTCTGAAGTACGAGCCTATAAGTACACTCTAGTTTCCTTCTACAACTTTCATTCCTTTTTTTTTTCACCATATATACACGTGCGTGAGGTATTACCCGTTGATCTGAAAATTTTAAATTATAATATCAAGTATATATGCTCTATTACCTACCCAAAATATGGCACTGATATATACACCTTTCCCTACCTCCACAGGTATATATGTGTGTGACTGATATACATATATATATATATATATCTGTTTCTTCAAAACGTTGAATGTGGAAAAGCACCGAGTCAATGGCTTTCTTCGAAACTTAATTATTCCCTCAAGCATATAGTTTTTAAGGAGCTGAACGTTGTTTAATTAGAATGACGCAACTTTTGGTGTCATAATTAACTTGGAATTTGTTTCTAAATTGAATATTATAGTCAACTGCCATCGAAATGTTGTGATCAAATAGCATCACATTGTAACAACAAAGATTAAAAAAAAGGTAAGCATTGTGTCTTCTAGCAGATGACACGTTAATCAATTAAGAATTTAAACTGATTGAACCTCCTCATGAAAAATTATATATTACAAAGACAAGTAGGCATTCTGATGCAGAAACTAAGTTGACTTTGGCACAGATCCAGATAGATCACAACGCATCCCCACAAGGCAGAAAAAAACATAACACGATTCTATACTAAAATAATGATTACATGCAACGCATGAACCTATAGGAAACAAAATAAAGTGCAACTGCATTTTGATTCCATTTCTTTATAAGCTTCATAGTAATTTTTTTTTTTTTTTTTTTGGCGAAACGATGAACCGATAATAATTTATATTAGTGGTGCTCATATTTAAGTTAACTTGGAAGAAAAAAGTCAACGGAACATTTTGGCGAACTCATATCTAATCTTGGGTTGTATTTTGTGAACCTTATCTCATAGCTAACCGACAGACCCACTGATTAGTGATTACCCCATACTCCGGCTACTTCCACTGAATTCCATCTTTCATTGAGTCAGCAATTAAATTTGGAACCCTCCAAGGTGTAGAACCGTAGATCCACATGAAATCATTTGATTATATCTGCTAACAGTTTAGAATATGACAATTTTTTGTTTGTTTATAACTTTTACTTGCTAACAAGATATGATATAAAATTGTGGAAATATTGATTTGAACATGCAATTAATGTTTCTTATAAGAGATAATTTTATATTTTACATATATAAAAGCAGGGAATAACTTTTGTCATTTTAAAGGATATAAGATTATATCATTTTAGATCTCAACCTTTGACTTCATCCATCAACGGTTATAATTTGTTAAATCAAAATTATTAATTAATTAATAATAAATTTGGCTCATTAAGTTTGACCCAATAGACTATAACCGTTGATGTAAGGAAATCAACGGTTAGGATCTAAAATGATATAAGCTTATATCCTTTAAAATGACAGATTTGTTTTCCATAAAAGTATATAAGGCCTTTATTTTTTCTCACTCTCTCTTCTCTTTATATGATCTCACATGAGCCTCCCACATTTTTTTATGTGTGTATTAGAGAATAATATAAATCATTATTAAAAAGGCCTTCACCCATCCCCCAAGGGTAGCTCAGTTGGCAGCTGAGCTCCCAAGGGATTGCTTGGTGCAGGGATCAAACCCTGCCTCAAGCAGTTTCTCGGAAAATCTTTGGGAGCCAGAGGATAAGCCAAAAATCTTCGGTTAGGGGATTAGTGTCGTCCTTTCTCCGGTTGCGAAGCTTAGTGCACCCACTGTTACAATGAGGGGCTAGCCCAAACGGGCCGTACCCCGAGGGCATGGTGCCCGGAGAAGGTTGAATGGGGATAAGGTCACAAGTTCGATCCCATTGCCTTCTACTTGTGGAATTAAATAAAGCATAAGGTAAAAAAAATAGAAAAAATTGGGGCTATGCAATATTCTTTTTTCAAACCCAAAGAGCTCTTACATGAAGTGTATATTAAAGAATAATATAAACTATTAAAAAGATCGTCATCTAACACTTCAAGATTTTGGGTTGAAGTGATTTTTTATAGTGTGTGTAGGAGATAATTTTATCTCATACAATATAAAAATCATTAATCCCTTTGAATATATACACGATATTTTTATTTTTATTTTATATGTACGGTGGCCATGAAATTACGTCTATACAAACTTCATGGTGTATAAAAGGAGAATATACAAGAGATATGCTTTGTAGAGGTGTTGGCGGTCTGGATTTGATCGGTTTTGGAAGCAAAAATCATCTGATCCAATTCCTTCAGTTTGATCATGTAATCATCTATTCAGTTCGGATTTTTTTTCAAATCCAATCTGATCTGATCCAATATTTTTCAGTTTGGATTGGATCGGTTTTCGGTTTTTTGAAAATCCTAAAATTTATTTCATTATTATTGTGCAAATAACATCTTTTGTATATATTGACTTTGTATTTTTTTTTTTTTGAAATATAAAAGTATCAGTAAACGATATATAATTTATTTATTTTGGCAATGAGATATGAAACTCTACACAGATGAAATTTTGTTGATGAGATGTGGCTAGATTTTTTCTTGGGTTTAGTTGATGGGTTAATGGATCTTGGATTTAGAAATTTTTGGGCTATGATTGGAGAAAGACCCAAGTAGGTAGAGGAGAATTAATATATTATATCGGTTTGGATCAACCCATCCGAAAATCGATCCAATCCAATTAAAATTTGCGGTTTTTTTCGGTTTTCGATTTTTCGGTTTTCAGTTTATTCGGTTATCGGTTTTTCGGTTTGGTTACCGCGGTTTTAATAAGTTTGGATCGATTGATGAACACTCCTAATGCTTTGTGTGTTACTTTACCAATATTCATAGTTGCCCTGCTGGTATGTCCGCATAACGAGTTTCGAACCATATTACGCCCTTTATTGCACAAAATGTGTAGCTAGTTTAGGTTTATCTCATTTGTAAGAAAAAAAATAAATTAATTAACTGGAGTCTTCAACAGAAAGACAGCGTTAGCTTTAAATATTTTATGCTTCTAAGCATATTGTAGATGCCAGGGTCGCATATCCCCCGCACTTATGCCAGTGTTTCGTGGGTGGATTTGCATAATTTTTTTTTTTTTTTTTTATAATAGATTTGGATAACTATTTAAACTCTTACTGTTGTGCAGTATTTTTAACGCATCTCCTCGTATATGAGTATTTTGAACTTGAAATATGGATATATATGGTCCCATTTTTCTTTATACCTTAAGCCAACTTAATTTCACTAAAATATGTTAGGCTTCTTACTTTAATCTTAAGCCCAAACTCATTCAAGGGTTTTTTAAAATCCTAAACTGTAGATTCTTGAACCTTCCCATCTCCTCTGTATATTCATTAATTGTGGGTGGAGGCTAGGTTAGATGATTTGAGAGATTTATGAGCAAAGCTTTAAGCTTTGCATTTGAGAGACTTCAGTTTAAGTGAAATATCTCTAGTAAAGTTTGACTATCACTATTGTTGGAGATGGTTGAGTGAATCATCACTTTGGTGAAGCTTAATTCTTTGTATCCATTATTATCATAGTGGAAATTTGAACTAAACTAATTTTTGTGGGATTTTACTTCGTTGTGTGTAGTTTAGATTGTCAAGATCCTACATTTAAGATCTTTTTAATTGATTTCCGCGAGAAGGCTGTGAAAGTCGAGTCGAGGGACTGACTTGTCCCAACCGAGATAGAAGAACCGAATTCCCAACAAAAAGTGGGGCGATAAGAATCAAATTCGTGGTAAAAAAATTCTGATACTACAACAAATAACCATTTTAATCTAACAGCTCAAGGCGCGCGCGCGCGCGCGCGCGCGCGCGCGCGCGCGCGCGCGCGCGCGCGCGCGCGCGCGCGCGCGCGCGCGCGCGCGCGCGCGCGCGCGCGCGCGCGCGCGCGCGCGCGCGCGCGCGCGCGCGCGCGCGCGCGCGCGCGCGCGCGCGCGCGCGCGCGCGCGCGCGCGCGCGCGCGCGCGCGCGCGCGCGCGCGCGCGCGCGCGCGCGCGCGCGCGCGCGCGCGCGCGCGCGCGCGCGCGCGCGCGCGCGCGCGCGCGCGCGCGCGCGCGCGCGCGCGCGCGCGCGCGCGCGCGCGCGCGCGCGCGCGCGCGCGCGCGCGCGCGCGCGCGCGCGCGCGCGCGCGCGCGCGCGCGCGCGCGCGCGCGCGCGCGCGCGCGCGCGCGCGCGCGCGCGCGCGCGCGCGCGCGCGCGCGCGCGCGCGCGCGCGCGAATGCGCGCGCGCGCGCGCGCGCGCGCGCGCGCGCGCGCGCGCGCGCGCGCGCGCGCGCGCGCGCGCGCGCTGCTAAATGATCTTTATATATATATATATATATATATATATATATATATATATATATATATATATATATATATCTGACAACCTCAAAATTTACTCGTCATGTATCATGCACACCGTTCTGAATTCTATTAAACGTGTCGAAATTAGGATATTTCAATGGACTTATTTTTATATGTCACCGTCAATTACTCCTCTGAAGTCAACCCAAATATCTTAATCACAAATTTGGCTTCATATCTTAGACGAACATGTATTGCTACTTGCATGTAACTTTAAGAAGCTGCACAAGCCAGAAATTTGTGTATAATGATTGTGAGCTTATTTGTTTTGCATGGCAGGAAAGGGTAAGTAACTGTTTCTGTGCATTGTGACATTGCCGTACGGTCTACGCAATTGTGCACAAGAAAGAAGAGAATTGTTAACCAATGTTTATTAAAGGAAATATTAGATCTGTCACATGTTTAACTTAAATAAAGTTGAAATGATTAGTATAAATATAATATAGCAATAGTGAAGAAGTGCCAAACATATGCAAGGGGTAGAGAAAAAGCCACTGACCCTATAAGGTTGGCTAATAATCACATATCCATCATGTAAAAGCATTTACTGACTCTGCATTCTGGTACAGTAGCATTACTTTGCATAAAATAAGTACAATTCTTAAATTTACTAAAGATGACTCCACTTGACATTCTATTTACTTTTCTCATTTTTCGTGTAGTATATATATATGGTGGGTCACTTGTGGCCTATAAAAAGAGATAGTCAGAGGCTGAAGATCCTAGCGTTCAGACATACAAATCTAAGGTGAAGTCCACATCTTGGCAAAGAAATGAAGTCCATCTTTGCTTTGTTGGTATTCTTCTTTCTTCTCCTGGTAAGCTTTTATGAAGCGATTAACTCTATGAAAATTCATTTTATCTTTTATGAAGCTTATTTAATTTTAAACTTGCATCAAATCCAAGCAGTGAGGAATTTCCTGATTTCATCCAAGTAACTTGGTTGTCTTTGAAATTTGAACCAATGAGTTTTATCCTACGTTAATTGTTCATGACCTTTATATTTTCTCTTTAATGAAATAGGTTGCAAACCTCAGTTATGCAAGAAAAGACCAGGGAGACTATTGGAAGAATATGATGAATGACCAACCTATGCCAGAAGCAATCAGAGACCTCCTTGTTCAGGATCCAAAAGTATCAGATGCAGGGAAGGATCATTTTATTCGGGACTTTGATATAAAGCCTAATATTATATTATATCACACCCATGTTGTGTCTAAGAAGCAGAAGCAGAAGCAGAAGGCCTTTGTCAAGAACTATCAAGAAGGGTTGAAGCTCAAATCATTTGCTCATGATTAGCGACGTCAGATACACACATCTCTAGATTGGAATATAGACCATAGATACCATGATGTTTAGTATCTTGTATTGAGAAAGGGATTAGTATTTAAGGTTTTTTTTGTATGACAGCTATTGATGTTTCTAAATCTCTCTTTCTGTTGAACGCTTGAACCCTTTGTTTAAAGATGTATTTTTATGGTTATCCTTTTTTTGATGCATCTATTTTTTGGGTCCTTCAGATTTTTTATAATCAATAGACGTGATGTTTCTTGTCAGCATTGATCTTCATAAATTCTTACCCAACTTTTGCTCCCCAAATTTATACTGTTTTGTGCACACAATCTACTTGGTGAAACTTGGATGATCTTGGTCATTCTGATAACATTTTTATCTTTATTTGAGCTTTTTCCTTCTCAGAGTTTCAAAGGAAAGGATGCCTATTCATTTTAGATCAAAATTTTATAAGATGATACAATTTTATCTTCCTCGTGGATGAAGGCAGGTGATATGTTCAAAGTACTAATCTCCCAGTGGAATGAATCTCTGTAGTGATAGGCCTGGTGCCAAATATCATAACTCAAAATCATCAGTCTTCCTCTCCTCGAATCAGTTAACTACTTAGCAAGATCCTGTTATTGTCTCGTCGAAAATCCGGCTGTTGTGCACAACGTATTAAAGCCAATTCCCCTTTTTTATCGGTATTATTGGTATCCTTAGTATTACTATAAGTATCGTCATTTTCAAACCTGTTCTTCCATTTCGAGTCAAGAGATAGATAAATAGACACATCCAATTCCATCGAATTGAGTATGATTGTATGTGTGATAACATCTACTATATCAGGAATATCAATGAACCCTAGGTATCCTACATCTGAACTGAATTCTTTCTGATTAAGGAATCTCTTTCTAGTTGCTCTGGAACAATTAGGAGATTCTCTAGAAGAAATACGAAGAATAGTTTATTAAGAATAGATCTTTTCCTGTATTAATTAATATGACCATGTTATATAGGAGAATCCTAACTATTCACAGACAAATCAACGATAATGGAAAATGAGAGAGAAAAAAAATTAGAATAGAAAATGACAAGATCATCACTATTGATTTGCCCGTAAATAATTAGGATTCTATTCACTCTCCAATTTATTACCGATGACATTGACAATATGTACTGCATAGGCAGGTTTAGAATATGATTGCTTGCACCACTGAAAATGTTGATTTCTAAATGGTATTAACTTTTAATAGTACTCTAAATCAAAGAAAATTGTATTAATAACAAGTAATACTTCTTATTTAATCTTTTGGGGCCCAGTTGATTGGTACGGTTTGTGTACTTTGCAGAAACAAACATATCATATACCATGATTGTTTTTTTTGTTTTTTTTTTTAGAAGCAGAAACAACTAATTTTGCATGAATCAAAGCCCGTTGGGCTTGAGGGTCTCATAGAGGGATTCTAAAATTGGGTTGGAGTGCCGAGTGCCCATGTGGATACCCCATTTAAAGAAACCTGCATTGGCAGGATTCATCAATCAGAGAATTCCAACTAGTGTTCGATTACATTAATTAGAAATACAGTGTTGCTGACATTAGGAGTCACGACTTTAATTACTAAAATTACTTCTCCTCCTTTCTCAAATTGATTCTTTGTCTGTGTTTTTCTTCACTTTCTTTTGATTTTTGTGATAAGTGTTGTTCTTTTGGAAGACATGTGTCGGTGCGTGAATTTGCTGGAGCTTGAAGAAATGAGTGTGTTGTACGATCCAATATTGGAGACATTCGCAAGTTGTGGTGTGTGTAGGTGTCCACAGCACATGCATATACTGTCTCCAATTGTGAAATGTGTTACTGTTGCACGTGCTGTGTGGTTGTGGGTAAGTGTCTTGCGTTGCATATGTGATGTGTTATTTTGTGGTGCGTGTCCTTTAACTGTACATTGTTTTAAAATGTAATGACATTTATTTTTCACTGCCTTCTTGCTAATTATACTGAAAACCACTTTCTTCAAACACCTTTTGTTATTCCCTTCATACATTAATACTTGCTCTTATTATTGGTTATTTTACTATAAATAGGTAGTGAGATATCATTCGACATTCATACAAACAATAAAAAGAGAAAGCAAGGACTTCCTTTTTATATTGAAAATGAGACCAGCTCTTGCTTTGCTTCCTCTTTTCTTTGTTTTCTTGGTATGTATTCCTTTCGTTGCTTCACAATTTCTATTAATGATATCCTTTCTTATCTTATCATTAGTTTGTTATTGCCTTCTCCTCTAAATAATAGTAAGGGATTCAGATGAATTGGTTTTAACATCAATCAATAATCAAATAATTTGGAGTGAATGAAATAAAATAAACTTGACTAAATATGAGGAAAAAGCAGCATGCCACAACAAAATAATTTCATTACGTTACTTTACTCAAATTTCATGCAGTCCAAGGTTATTTTTAATATTTTCTTCCCTACTTCAAAATGATAAATATCTGTTGGACTCTAATTAGTTTTCAACTCTATTTATTAGTTGGCATCATGATCTCATTTTCTAATATTGGTTTGAAATTATATTCTGTATTATGGCTTCTTGAATTGGGAGTTGGGATAGTAATCTGACCACCATTTCCCCCTTTTTTTTCTGTGTTGTTCTTGTAATTTTTGTGAAGTTTGCTGCTACTGTGGAATCAAGAAAAGATGCAGGGGAATATTGGAAAATGGTAATGAAAGATCAGGAACTGCCAGAAGGAATTCAAGGTCTTCTTCAGTTGACATCTGAGATCCAAACTGAAAACAACCCCAAGACTCAAGAGCAACTCAAGCACAAATGTGAAGAGCCTCTTGTCACAAATACACAAGTTACCATAGAAAAAAAGGTCTTCAAGGAAGATTTTGAACCAAGACCCAGTGTCACTAAATATAATGGTGATGAGCCATTAGTGAAAGTGAATAATGAATTTGAACTCAGGCCAAGCCTCACTAAATATGATACTAAGGAGCCACTAGTGAACATTGAATTTGAACCCAGGCCAAGCTTAACTAAGTATGACGGTGAAGAGTCACTAGCGAATAGTGAATTTGAACCCAGACCAAATCTCAGTAAGTATAATGATTAAATGAAGAAAAAGAATGCAGTTGTAACAATGCAAAGTGTGTATGTGATTAATATGGTGTAATGTACTATGGTTTTTGAATAAGTTATATATAAATATTGGATGATGAGAATGATAATGATGATGAGTGTTTCCTTTAGGTTTATTACTGACTCAACTAATTTAGGATAAAAATAATATTGGGAAAGTATTTAAGGGGTTTTTTTGTTTGACAGCAATTGATGTTTCTAAACCTCTCTTTCTGTTGAACGCTTGAACCCTTTGTTTATAGATGTATTTTTATGGTTATCCTTTTTTTTATGCATCTATTTTTGGGTCCTTCAGATTTTTTATAATCAATAGACGGGATGTTTCTTGTCAGCGTTGATCTTCATAAATTTTTACCCAACTTTTGCTCCCCAAATTTATACTGTTTTGTGCACACGATCTACTTGGTGAAACTTGGATGGTCTTGATCATTCTGATAACATTTTTATCTTTATTTGAGCTTTTTCCTTCTCAGAGTTTCAAAGGAAAGGATGCCTGTTCATTTAGATCAAAATTTTATCATGATACAATTTAATCTTCCTTGTGGAGGAAGGCCGGTGATATGTTCAAAGTCTTTAGGTTTTCTTTGAGAGTTTAGAGAGAAAAGAAATGGATACAAGGGGAAGGAAGGAAAGAAAATTGAAAGGTATTCTCTTTCATTATTTGGGAGTAGAAAAAATGATAAGGGAGAAATTGGAGGGTAGATGAGATATTTTCACAATTTTATCCTTTTCAAAAAAATTAATGTAATTATTATATTAAACAAAATTATTTATATATTTTTCACACCACTAAAAAAGATCATATTTTCGACAAAATTTTTACATTGCAAACGACGAAAAATTTATCAAAAAATTACTTTTTCGTCTGAATACATTTCGTCGAAAGGCAACGAAATTTTATTAACCGATGAAATTTTTACAAAAATAAATTTTCTATCAAAAATTTTGACGGAATTTAATTTCTGTCAAAAGTTTTGACGAAAATAATTTCTTAAATATTTTTTACGCAAAAAAATTCCATCAACAATTTTGACGGAAAAAAAAATTTCGTTAAAATTTTTAACAGAATATTTTTCGTCCGAAATTTCGAGGAAAATGTGTCCTGATGAAAATTTCGAAAGTAGAAACTTTTTTGTCAAAATTTTTTAGGGAAATATTTCTGTCGAAAATTTCGATGGAAATTTTTTACAGGAATATTTTTCGTCAAATTTTTTAGTGAAATATTTTTGGTCAAATTTTTTGACGGAAATGTGCTCGTTGAAAATTTTGATAAAAATGATTTTTAACTAAAATTTTGATCGGAATATTTTTCGCCAAAAATTTTGGATGACAATATATTTTGTCTAAAATTTTGAAGGAAATTTTTTTCGTCAAAAAATATGACAAAAATATTTTCGTCGAAAACTTTAGACGAAATATAGATTCTGTAAAGAATTTTGACGAAAAAATTTTTCGTCAAAGATTTCGACAAATTTAGTTTTCTGTCAATATTTGGACGAAGTTTAGATTTCGTAAAGAATTTTGACAAAAAAAAATTTCCGTCAAATTTTTTTACAAAACTGTTATTCATCACAAATTTTTACAAAAATATTTTTCGTCAAAAAATTTCACTGGAAAAGTGTTCCGTTGAAAATTTCAATGGAAATGTGTTTCGTCAAAATTTTCGACGGAAATATTTTTCCTTGAAAAGTTTGACGAAATATTTTAGTTGACAGTTTCGACGGAATTTAGATTCTAACAAGAATTTTGACTGAGTTTTTTTTCCAAAAAAAATTGTCAGTGATTACGGTCAAATCTTGTTCCGTCTTTAGTTTCGACGAAAAAAAATTCCATCTCTATTTTCGACGTAATATGATTTTCGTCAAAAATTTCGTCACTATTTTCAACGAAATATTTTTTGTCGATAAATTTTGTCAGTATTTGAGACTTTCCTAATAATGTCACATTTAAAAATGATTCATATTTATGTAGTTTTCATATTTTAATGCTAAAGGTAGATAAGTAATTTTCAATATTTTCCCTTTTAAACCCCCAAATTGTGGGAACTTTAATTTTAAGGGTGAGAAAGTTTTGGAAGATTTTGCAAAAATCTCCAATTCCCTTCCTCCATTTTT